TACTGAGAAAATCTGCTTAATTGCATCGCTTAAAAAGGAAGACTTGAAGAAATATCTTCCGGCATTCATTAAAAAGTAATTCTCCTTAATTTAATGCGATGTCCTCTTAAATAGAATAGTGTCGATAAAGCCACCACTGCTAGCCCGGGTTCGAGGACAGGTTAGCGGAGACTTATGTTTTTTCACTTTCTATTTTTAGCTTAAAATAAGGTAACCTAATAAAAATCGGCGAACTCCTTTTTGATTTCATTAAAAAAAAGTACCACTATAAATAAGAGTGCTTTCTTCTTGAAGAAAACCCTACTACTTTATTAGGTGGATTGGCTTTGTGTATTTAAGCCTTATAAATACAATGGAAGGACAGGCAAGCGGAAGGACTTATCTACACTTGGGTCGAAAAATTAACGCAACTTCGCAAAGGATAGAAGCAACTGACAAAGTTACCAGTATTCGGCAAAATTGGCAAACTGCTGTAACTATTTACTGTAAAAATAAAAACCAAATAATTTAAAAAAACAGTAATATCCGTCGTTATTTTTATAGCATCTCAAAAGTACCATTTCATTACTTTAGCTATTAGATATTTTTTAAAATGTAATTCCAATTTATTAAAACGGTAAAGCACATGAGAAGTTTGCCGAAAGTTCAATAATCATCTTCCGTACTTAAATAAGCATATATACAAATATATGTATATATATATATACATACAGATGTGTATTATTTATAAAAGAGGCACTTCAGTCTTTTCAAAAGTTAGGACAAATACCACAAAACGCATTTCAATATGAAGTACATAGAAAGTCAAAAATTGCATACTATCGCACATTTTAATGAATTTGTGTACATACACATTGGTCACCACTAGTGATGGCAAAGAAAAATAAAATAATCCATTAATTAATCATATGATTAATCACAAGAAATTGAGAGCTAATCGAGTTTTTAAAAGCACTTTTTTTACAGTTAGGGTTCACAAATACACTTTTCCATACAAAATTTCTAATTCTCTTGTTATTTAGCCTTAAATAAAATAAAACGAGTATTTTTAGCGGCGATAATTTATTATTTAACCTGCTTTGCAAAAAAAAAGTTTTGATAAGCGTTTTGTTGTTAAGCATTTTCGCGTTGGATGTAGGACCAGCTTTAGAAAAAAGGCGCTTAGCAGACGGTAGGGTTTCCAACATTTTCTAAAATGTTTATAGTAATTTTTCAAAAAAAACTGAAATAATATAGTACACATCAAATATGTATAGTATTGTATTTAAAATAAAAAGTAAAAATGCTTTTTAGGTATATATAAAGGCGGAGTAATTTGTTCGGAGCAAAATTTTCAAATTCTGCGATTTATTCTGTGCAAAAATGGCGTAATTTTTGGTATACGTATATGTAGTCTTGTCACCATTTTTACTTAGAATCGAACGTAGAATTCGAGCATTTTATTATTAAGACCAATGCTAACGAATTTTTGAAATTAATTTTTTCGAAACTCGGGTCGAGTAAATTTTATGCAGCTAGCAAAAAAGAATGTTCGATGGATGGATTTTAGACAACTGCAGAATTCATATTTCATGGAAATATTTTTACGATTATTCTACAATTAATCGATTAACAATCAATTAATGAAGCACAAAACTACGATAAAATTAAATCGTCAATTGGACAAAAATAATCGAATAATTTAATCAAATGATTAATCGCTGCCATCTCTAGTCAGCACACACAGCTATCAACACATTTTCAGGCTGGATTACGTATCGGTTTGAATTTTCATTTCATTTATTAGACAGCTTTGCAATGCACTGGCCTTTACAAATAGAAAATGCACTGAGCAAAAAATCAAGCGGAAAACTTAGTTGAGACGCGCAACATTAAAGCAGAGAAGAACCATGCATACATATATTTGTACACATAGTATAAATATACTATACACATACAAATATCTACTTTAAATCTTTCAATGTAAGCAACCAACCAGTATTTCTTTTATGTAAATTTCTTTTTTTAATACATATGTATGTACGTATATTTTTTGCCCAATTTCTTTGCCTTCTTAGTGGCGTATGGCAACAAATGACGACGGTAAATCGAACATTGCCAATTGAATGTGTTCGGCTTAAACATTTGTGCCATACACATTTTCACATCGAAGTGGTTACGCGCCTAAATGCATGCTTGCAAGTGTGTGTCGCTGTTGAGTGTGTCTTAAGGAGATATGAGCATACTTGCCGTCATTTATGGTATTTAATACGAATACATAGTATATATGTATGTGCGTGAGACGGTGTATCAATTGCTACATTTGCAATGGAGAATAGGAAGGTATTTATTACAAGGACTTGGAACAGATACATTTACATTTAGCAACACTGACAAGAATTTAGCCACTTTATACATATACACATGCAAATGCATTAGGGTGGTCCTTAAAGGTATTAGTATCTAAACTTTGTATGAGGCGACCTTTTATTTTGTTTTACTACAGCAAAATGAAGACATCTACGAAAATTTCAAAATTTTAAAATAATTGTATTAGCGGTCGTTACCAGGGCTTGAAATCTGAAAATTTCACATAATATTGAAAACTGTTCATTTAAATTCATAGTCAGAGCGCTAAATGGATTCATCATGCAATATTAAGCTCCAAAGGTTATAATTTTTTTTTTA